TTGGAATAATCTTTGGAGATAATAATGATTTGCTGATATAAGTCCTACTAATTAAGCCATAGCTGGGGAGAGAAGGGAAGAGGTGGATTTATACCTTCCCCAATGGTATTTGCTCGTAAGGAAATATACGCAACTCGACTGGAATTGGAAGTCGGAGAGCCAAGTTCCAATTTCGAGCCGTTATTCATTAAACCACCCGAATATCTAAGCCTACAATATCTGGTATTTCCAAGCGGTCACCCATCTACGTAGTGACCAGGCCCGACGTTGTTTAACTTCGGTGAATCTTGAAAGAACCGGTGTTCCAACGACGTATCCTTCAGACGTGTCATCTGACTATCAATTACTTCATTCAACACTCCTTTTTCGGTGCAGCATATGCAACAATTTTAAAGAATTTACTTAAGACAAAACCAAAATGATTCTTTTATGAATAACACAGAAAAAAAATAATTAATTACTTAATTGAAATGTAATTGCAATTAATTAACCCAATTATACTTAATTACTTGATTGAAATTAAAATTCCAATCAGTTATCAGTGATTTTGTTGCACCTCCTGCTGTACAACTTGAGATTCTTGACAAAACCCAAAAAAGGATCTGCAATGTAGTCGATCCAGACCAAGCATCTCAACTTCAGTCTCTTTCTCACCGATGTGACGTGGCGTCCCTCTGTCTTTTCTACAAATATTTTCATGGCAACTGCTCTGACGAGCTTTTTTCTCTGGTGTCCCGACTACATGAATTTAAGCGTGCTACTAGATTGGCATCTAGGTCCCACCTTTTTATTGTTAAAATAGCGAAATGCAACTGCCACTTCTACAACAGTTTCTTTTTTCACACTTCCCACCTGTGGAACTCCATTCCGTTTACTTACTTCCCTGATAACTACAATCTTCCAAAAATTAAATGCAACGGCAATCAGCATCTTCTATCTTCTTGAATCTCGTTCATCTTTTGTAATTTCCTAAAATACTCCCTATACTCAGTCTTTTCTCTCGCTTTCACTCCTTGTAAACCCCTGCGTACTAGTGGCATTCCCGCCTTGCTTGGGGTGAAATGATAAAATAAAATATTGCGTAATACGCGCCACATATAGTGTAACTTTTCGTTTTATCGCACTTATTAAAAAGATCTAGAAAATTAATAAGATCTAAAAAAAAACGTAAAATATTCATTATGTATATGACTATACTTTTCTGCACAAAAAATGCATTTATAACATTTATTCGCTTTCTGACAAGTTGGGCCAAAAATCATGCAAAGTCGACACGATATGTTAGGAAGAGTTAGTCACTGCGAACTGTGCAAACGAAAAAGATTCGATCATGTAAACTAATCGTTTTTGTACAAAACGTGCCCATTTCTAGAAAATTATCTAAATAAAATCCTCGGGAACGTCACTCTAATTTTGAGACCCTCACTGAAGAAATCCGATATGATAAACAAAGAAAAAAAAGGCCCAACCAAATTGTACACGTGGCTGTGCTTGACAACAGGGTGAGCACGAAAGAAACTTAAACATTGCTTGCCTCGATGATCTCAGTCGAGATCATATAGTCCGCAACACCTCACAGTAGTTAATTGTGAGATCCATAATCGTTTTTGTGGTTGTATAGTCTTTTTTTAATTCACTCTAAGGAAGGGGATAATTCCACTAAGACGTAAGGAGCGAAAGAGAATAAAATGACTACATAAGATTTTGAATTCAGAATTGTCTTTCTCTTTGACTGATTGGCAAAGTGCACAGTTCGCCTTTCTAATTAACTAATAACTGGGAAGAGAAGAGACCGATTCATACTAAGTGTATTTGTGCAAAAGTGAATGTAAGAAACTCAACCAGAATTCAAACTCGGTTCGCCTATTTCTTGTTCATGCAAATACCACGGAATCTATTTGTTTTGGTTTGGTTTGTTTTGTTATACAGCATATAAACCTCAATGGATTATTTAATGCCTACAAGATTTTTATTGTTGATAATAGTCTTTTTTCAAAAATATATTGTTGGTAATATTTTTTTTCAAAAATGTATTGCTGGAAATATTTTTTTCAAAAAATTATTATTAGTAATATTGTTTTTCAAAAATGTATTGCTGGTAATAATTTTCCAAAAAAATATTGCTGGTATTAAAACATATTTTTATACTTTCATAGTGTTTTGATCCAGGTTTTTTTGGGTGGGGGTAGTTATAGCCCATAGCTGGGACCCTGCCAGGTGCTACCACCCCGGGTTAGGGTGGACCAGGGAACGCCATCAATATAGAGGTGGTTCTACGCTCCTCAAAACCTTCTGATCAAAGGCCTTGTTGTAGAATGTAGCTTATCGACTTACCCAGGAGGCGGATGTAGTTTATCGTCATGCCCAAAACGGACGGAAATTATTAAAATATCAGAATCTTGCATAAGAACTGAAAAATCTGGGAATTAAAAACACTTGAGTCATTACGGGATCATCATAATGAAGAAACCGTGCCAGATAGTGGAGTTTGCTATGTAAAACATGTTTAAAGACAGATAATTATCACCACGATTCCAGACACTCAAGGAAATTGGGTAACCTGAAGTTGAACCCCAAGCTAGTCTTTTTCTTGGAACAATTACAGAACATGAAAATAAAGGAACATGACAGAATTACTGAAAGTAGCAAGAAAATGTGTCGATGTATTCTAGATGCTTGCTGTCATTTGAATATAGACCATTAATTACAGTTAGTATTGACGCTCAATGAGGGAGAAATCATAATGTTATGACTTTAGTGTTTCAAGAAGAGCTTCGTCAGATCATCATATAAAACATGAAATTAAATAAAAATAAACTATATGATTATTATATACTTTATTATTCAGACCAGCATGTTCATCTTGGTTGTTACTTACATAGTTGTTATGATCGACAATTCTACGACATTCTTTCTATTTACGATCAGATTATGGTCAACAACACAACAATAGTCTGCTAATCAGACGGCAGAAAATAAAAAACGATTAACAAAAAACGATTTTTAAGGCCTTCATATCAAAATACGGCTACCTACCATCAATAAAATTTGTTTCTATATCAGTAAATGGATTTAAACTGTAAGAACATTTATTAGTGTGACTCTAAAATTTATTCCACCACAATAGCATGTGAACCCACATTTATTTTAAACTCCTGACAATATAAATGCGTCACTGGCTACCTTTAGACTTCTTTCCTTGAAAATAACTAGCGATGGTCGAAAGTGCTCTGAACGTTACACACAAATTACACACAATTTCGATAAGTTCATTGACAAGTTACAACCAACATCAAAATTAATCGACACCAGAAGAAAATAACCAAAGGCTGAACACAGGGGTCGGCAACCTTTTAGAGAGAGCAGGTCAGGTAGCTAAACAGTATCTCGGTGGAGGTCCTTGGTATCAAATATATTATAATAAATTGTCTCGACCTCAGACCACTCCGTCCAGAATGCTGCCTTGGTCTGGAGATTTAAAGAAAAGACAACGAACTAAATATTATATTATTTAAACGAGGTTCCTTCTTTTACTGCAGGAATAACAGAACAACTAACACAAGCAACACAAAAGCAAATTCCTTATTACAAACGAAATACAGTTAGAAAAGACGAATTATTTAATGAGACACTTGCTTCTGCTTATTGTTCGATAACTTCTCCACATCAGATGAAATATTTGTCGATGACAGGAGCAAAACAACATCCAGGTGATTATCACCCAAACTTGTTCTTAAACGACTTTTAGTATATTCCATTTTCGAAAAAAAATGTTCTTCACAAGTATATGTACTTTCGAATAACGATACTGTCATTTTCGTATTATTCAATAGACTTTATACTCTCCGCTTGGCAAAGCATATTTCTTGTAGAAATCCGCAGTGGATTCAAAATTAAATTTTCATTTTAAAAATTCATCGCATTGTAAGTTGATTAACTCCGATTGATATTTGCTTTCCACTTGCTCCATGAATTAATTAGATCCAGGTGTTAAGTTGGTGGGCCGGACAAAAATCATTTGCGGACCCATATATTTGTGGGTAAAAATGCTCAGTATTAGAGATAGAGCCTAAGTGAATATAAAATATATATGAAGGTCACACCAAACCACTTATATATATATATATATATATATATATATATATATATGGTTGGATTGATGTGAGTTTGTGACCCTCAGTTTCACACTCTTGCGATCAGGGTTACAAACTCACATTAAACCAACAAATATGTTAGCTCTATCTCTGATATTGAGCGCTTTCTAATAAGTACCGCGCATATAATATGTAAATAATAATTTATATAATATATTACACATATACATATATATTTATATTTATATACACACACTTTTCACACACACACACACACACACACACACACACACACACACACACACACATATATATATATATATATATATATATATAAAATTTTTCCGAAGATGAAATTAATTTGATAAAAGACTACTGTATAAACTCATTGGGGATTCGAACTATAACTGCGAGTTGATTCGTTACTGAGACAAGATTGCGAAGCATTGAATTATAACTTCTATTCTGTCATACACACATCAACGAACACTTTAATACTCATAAACACACATGCACATATGCATGCAGACGCACAAATAAATAAATTCATATACACATCAATATATGCGTACGTATAGATAGGTATAGAGATACAGACGCAAACAGATACAGTCTTCACCGGAAACTGAAAGTAGGAAGTTGAGAAATTCCTTTACGGAAGTGAATATTACAACAAAGTGGCAAGATGGCAAGGGAGGCAATCGATCGATAATTCTGTCAGGCCTCATTCAATATTCATATACTTTTTCCTGTACAGCCAAGACATGAACAGCAGTCAGGCGCCCTGACTCTATGGCTTCCTCTAAAAAGAATCGATTCCTTGATTTGTTCTAATTTATGGTGCCTGGCTGTCATAAAACCAACGAGATATCCAACCGAAATGAAGGAGATTGGCGAATAAGATAGCAACGGGTAGATTTTATCATTCGTGCAACATCTTTTAAAAATTTCTTTCTTTCTTTCTTTTATCTATCTATCTATCTATCTATCTATCTATCTATCTATCTAAATACAAAGCGTATTTGATAAAATTATAGGATATTTTACGAAAAGTAATATTTATAAATTTCTAGCATCCTGTATATGAATTTAGGGTAAAATTGAAGCTCAGAACGATATATATATATATATATATATATATATATATATATATATATATATATATATATATGATATTAGTGGTCAATATATATATATATATATATATATATATATATATATAAATTTCAAGAGGAAAACTCAATGTCCAGGACAGAGTAAGAATGAAAGTTGGAGGTCTGATGAATTGGATCGTGTTTACGATTCTAATGTAATAAATTATAACCATGGAATATTAGTGTTTGAGCCTTATATATATATATATATATATATGTGTGTGTGTGTGTGCGCGTGTGTGCGCGTATGAAAATAGACCTTGAAGTCAACACCTAGCGGCCATGATCAGTTCTATGCTTAAAAGCAATCGTCAGTCCAAAAACAAACTACGCTGTACAATAGCCACAAACCTTCATTTTTTTAACACTCAATAGCCTTTAAGTTAGTTCGAAACAAAACCGTCATTGTTCGCTCAAATAAGCCATAATGCACCATTGACTAACATATATAAATAGCCGAACCAAAACACAACGCATATAGTCTAACGATTGCGTTTAAGCATGAAACAGTCTTTTGCCGCTTCATATTGAATGTCATCTTTTATATTTACATAGGCTTTATCCCTGTTATTGAGCACAACCTATAAATATAGCATATATATATATATATATATATATATATGAGAGTGAGTAAAAAAATGAAATTTGTTTTTATTATATAAGAAAAAAGAACACATTCAAAACATAGATAAATAACATATAGCTATACATCACAGGTTCACATCCTTACTTCTGAACATAGTAATTTCCTCTTTCAGTGGTAGTGTTCCCCCTACAAAAAAGTCTTGTAATCCATTTTTGTAAGACTCTCTTGGCTGTTGATGTAGACAATTCCTTACGACAGAATTCATATGTATAAACACTACAATTATTACAATGTCAACCTCTTCAAGTCAAAAGTCAATCGTTATCTATCTTTCTTAACTTCACTTCCATCAAGTCCTTTTTCATTCACACCACATAACACATTCATTAGAACTATTTCAATGGTAACCATGCAGTTAAAGCACGCATCTTGAATCCAATATACAAATTCAGCTTGTGGAATTAGTAAATACTAAACATTTTAAATACCTCGGTGTATAGATTGGTTATAACAAATTTATTCGAAGGAATAAGGAAATTAAAATTAAAATAGGCTTCACTAAATTAGTTTTGCTCAACACCACAAATTTCTCCAAAAATCATTAAATAAAAACTTTAGTTATATTCTTAAATAGCTTCATCAGTTGGAAACTTTTATATGGCTATCATGCATGCATGTGTGTGTCTGTGTGTGTATGTAACACTTATGTATATTAATACGGGAATTCCTCGGTTAATTTCTGTTCGCTTACTAAAAAAACGAATGTATTTTAGAAGCATTTTCGTATTTACAATTGAATTTTTAATTACTCCTTCCAACAAACGATTTGAAAATTCTATTTACATTTTTGGATTGTGTGAACATTGTCCGAAAAACATGTATTCGAAATTTAAATTGTTTGAATGAAAATAAATCCAAAGAACAATTATGCTAAAACAAAAATTCGAAATGAAAAATTCTTTATTGCAATAAAAATTAAAAAGAGGAAATACTCAAATGATAATTATTCGAAATACAAATATCATTAATAAAACAATTTAGTAAGAAAAAAATCCTTATAACCTTAACTTATATGATACTGCAGGCAAATAGTCAACTACTGAAGTGTACTCGTTAAAGGTTGCCATTAATTTTTAAGTTTTCCATTTATGTTGCAGTATTTCTTGGCGCTCTAGATATTTTCGCAACCTGCTCTTACATTTGCAGTATGAATTTATTGTAAGTTGTGTTTTCTTTTAAAAGCGTCTAAGAATTTCTATCTTGTGGGATGATGGGATGACATTTCCTGCAAAAATGCCATCTGCCACCCTTCAAGAGAGTTATTAATTGTAGGTAAAGCAGCATGGACTCTCTCAAAGTGAGATCACGTACGTATTTCAATCATAGGTATTTCGAATAATTATCATTTAATATAATTGTCCTTTTAAAATAATTTTATTCAAATTTACAATTCGAATAAATGTTTTTCGAATAACTATTTTCAAACAGTTATTTTCGAAAAAATTTCTCGATACGACATTTTTGTAACCTCTGACGCGCAAACGCGTGGCTTATCGACTGTCTCTTCATAGAAGAGGAAATATATATACTGCATTCTTATAATATGATGAAACGGATGACCACTTGTCCTTTTTCATTCAACTGATGAGACAATTCTTCTCTTTCTATGTATCACTTCTCTTCAGGACGTTGGCAATCATGGCTCTCCACAATTTCCTATCCTTTGTAGTTCTTAGTAAAGTTTATCTTTTCACTATCCCTCCCAGTCACTATTCTGCCACTCATTTACGCAAGATTGTTAGGTAGATAACATATAGTTTCTCTCTGTCCTTCTTACCTTTAATATGTCCTGTAAGTGTCAAATTCTCCATGCCACGCTTCCTCAGTTGGTGGCCTAGAAATTTCAACTCCCTGATTCTATGTATGATCGTCCTTTTTGTGTTCATTATCTTTAAAATTCTCCGTTATTCACACTGAACGTATTCACAGTATCCTCAGTATCTTCCTGTAGAACCGCATCTGTAGTTTGAAGTCTCTTCTTCATTTGTAAAGAGATTGTCCAGCATTCACTTCCATAGACAAGGATTGATAACTACGGAACATTTTAGCCCCCTTTTCTTTGTATTTGACTAAATTTCTGGTTTCCTTAACAATGTTTCCTTAATACTAACTTTTGAAAGTTATATTTTAAGATTTCGATGCGTTCTCGGGATTCTATGATACATCTAGCATCGTCTATTAAAGCAGTGAATTGCCTTCTTCTTTTGTGAGGAGATTGAACTGCATTCGCTTCCATAGATAAGGATTAATATTGTTGTATTATCTCCTCGTGCTGAGGAGCACTTGAGCGACGGCGTCCATTCGTTAATAAAGTTGCATTCTTCCCTCTCGGCCGGTGATCGTTGGTTCTTTTGGGTTCAGAGATGAAAGGAACTTCAACACAGTGAATTTTACTTAAGTATTTATTTAATCACGTCGACATTTATATCTTCTATTTATTCAGTGAGTCGCTTTCTCAATCCACTGGGGAGCCGTTCCAGACACGAAAGTAAACACGTCTGTTCAACGGTTCCGAAACAACTGAAAACCTTTATTTATCGTTCTCACGCTCATTTAGCTAATCAAAATCGACTTGCTTGTTTTGTCTTCCATCTGAACCCAGAGGTCTACTTCAGGAAGTCCGAGCAGAGTTACCCTTCCCCCTAAAAATAATAGTCTGTTAAACTATTATTTAATAATATTACATAACAAATTAGCAGCCTTTTCTTTGTATCTGACGAAATTTTCTGTTTTCTTAATACTTTGATAACTTTTGGAAGGCATATTTTAATATCTAGATGCGTCCTTGAATTTCGGTGTCATATCTTCCGTCGTTTGTTATAACACATCTCAGATTTTTGTATTTGCTTTATTTTGGCATCACTAATTCGTAGCTCGTATCTTGAACTTTTCCTCCTGCTGAAAATCAAACGTTGTTTCCATTCGAGAGATAAACATCTTGAGTCAGATAATCTTACATTAGCATAAAAACAAAATGATCGGTAAGAAGCAACTAGTTGAAATACGGGGAGGCATAATAAAAGATTCTGTAGTAGAGATAAGTGATAAATGAGATTGACTAATTGGAAACATATTCTGCACTCATCATTATTATACATTATCAGTTCAACGCAATGAAAAATAGATTAAAAAACAGAGACATCTTAAATTTATTCATATGAATTATCTGTCAGAATTGCGGATAAAAATAATAAAATTTGAAAAAAAAATTTGATAAAAAACCTAAAAGTTAAATCGTTATTATAATTTCCTTCATATTTATTCCACTGTCATTCATTTTTCTTTGTAAATTGTTTCATTTTATTATTTTAATAATACAAGCATTGCAATCATAAAAAACGACGGGTTTTTTGTTGCAGGACTCATGAGGATCAAAATATATGTGCATTTGGGAAAGTTCATTTTTCACTTTGTTTAGAAAATCAACACTTCACACATTATAAAAGCTAGAGTTTAATGTTATAGGTACTAGTCTGTTATGCCATAGTACCTATTCTATTGTAATGGACTCTCCCATAGATAATAAGTAGGAGTAGCAGTGGCAAGTCTGGCAGAATGGCGCCTCACGGTCTCTGACTGCGCACGCCCCCTGTCGAACTCTCTGCGTAAGCAGAGAGGAACCCGGGCGAAGATTTGCCGAAGGGCAAGGTTTCGTCCGGGGAGGTAATTTTGCCTGAACCCGTCTAATCGGCTTCAAAGGCTATTTTTTTTTTGGCCGAGCCTACGGGCTCGGAGAAACCCTAAATAAAACCGGCCTTGTGCCATATTCGTTTCCGTGGGTGAAATGATAAATACCGAATGGTGTTGAGCGGTCTTTGACTGCGCACGCCTTCTGTCGAACTCTCTGCGTTAGCAGAGAGGAACCAAGCGAGCTTTGCCGAAGAGCAAGGTTTCGTCCGGGGAGGTGGACAGGGCCTGAACCCGTCTAGACGGGTTCAAAGGCTATATTTTTGGCCGGGCCTACGGGCTCGGGGATACCCACATTAAAACCGGCCTTGTGCCATATTCGGTCCTCGTGGGTGGAACGATAAATACTGAATGGTGTTGAGCGGTCTTTGACTGCGCACGCCTTCTGTCGAACTCTCTGCGTTAGCAGAGAGGAACCAGGGCGAGGCTTTGCCGAAGAGCAAGGTTTCGTCCGGGGAAGTAGACAGGGCCTGAACCCGTCTAGACGGGTTCAAAGGCTATATTTTTGGCCGGGCCTACGGGCTCGGGGATACCCACAT